AGCCTACGTGTCACGCTCACTAACTCCAACTGAACAACGCTATGCACAGGTGGAAAAGGAAGGCATTTCTGCTTGGAGACCGACCATAAACCATTTGTCAGCTTGTTTGGTGATCAAGCACTAGATCTTCTACCCCTGAAAATTCAACAGTTCAGGATGAGGCTCATGCGATACTCGTACTTCATTGTGCACGTGCCAGGAAAGTCACTTTAGACAGCAGACACATTGTCACATTCGCCTGTGGACACTCACATGTCTGAAGCGGAACAGGAGATGATGGAAAGCACTAATATATATATGTGTGTGTGGGTGGGTGGACTGTGCAGTGGAAACCTTACCTGCTAGCCACACACATATGGAAATCATAAAAGAGCAGTTGCAAGCTGATAGTATCTGCTCTCGTGTCATGAAGCTGTGTGCAGATGGATGGCCAGTGCATGCAAAGCAGGAACCTGCACTGAGAGGCTACTGGCCAGAACGGGCTACACTCACTGTGCAAGATGGTTTACTACTAAAATACACTAGGCTTGTGATCCCGTCCAGTCTGAGGAATGGGGTGTTGGCGAAGTTGCATAAAGGACACCAAGGGGTGGTGAAATGCAGAGAATGTGCTCGTCAGTCTGTGTGGTAGCCAGGACTCAGTCAGCAGGTCAGTGAAATGGTGCTCAAATGCAGGGCATGTATTCAAGAGCGTCAGAATCCTAAAGAGCCACTCGTGGCATCTGAGTGCCCTGCAAGCAAAAGTTAGGGACTGACTTGTTTGTACTGAAAGGAAAAACATACTTAGTAGTGGTAGACTATTTCTCCAGATATGTTGAGGTTGCACAGCTATCTAACACTAAGTCGACTGACATCATTGTCCAGCTGAAGTCAATCTTTGCCCGACATGGGATTCCAGAAGAGTTGATGTCGGACAATGGACCACAGCTTTTGGGTCAAGACTTCATGCAGTTTGCAGACACATATGGGTTCAGACACATTACCAGTAGTCCAAAGTTTCCACAAAGTAATAGAGAAGCTGAACGCGCAGTTCAGATGGCAAAAAGTCTCTTGAAAAAGGCTAGCGACCCTTATCTGGCCCTGCTCGCCTACAGAACTACCCCTCTCCAGAGTGGGTTTAGTCCGGCTCAGCTGCTCATGGGGCGACAGCTTCATACCACTGTGCCAACTCTTCCCTCTCGGCTGGACCCAGCATTGCAATCTGTTGGCGATTTTGTTCATAAAGAGAGCGAAGAAGGAGCTGGAGGCTGAACGTTACAACAGGAGACATCGCGCAAAATCGCTTAGTGATCTAGTGCCCGGAGAGCACGTATGGGTCACTGATGTAAAAGAATCTGGGACTGTGCTGCAGAATCACACCAGTCCAAGGTCATATCTGCTAGATATGCCCAAAGGGGTGGTGAGATGCAATCGTCAGCATCTGATACCCTTACTCTCGCATGCAAGTGATGGAGACGCAGTGGAGCAGCAGGAGTTGCCGGAGACAAACAGCGAACAGGTTTCTACATCTCTGGGGAAAACACCTGAAACCCTGCCTACTGGGAGAGCTGTAGTTAAACCAGAGACACTGAATCTGTGAACTGAAACGAAAAAACAAAAACAAAAAGAGCATGTTTTGTTATTGTGTATGTAAGTGACGATGGGTAATGATGATGTTTAGTACAGTAAAAAATTTGAGATGCAGGATAGTTTCATCACAGTTAGGGGTTAATAAGGATTATTTGTTATGGTAACATTTTCTTCCCTACAGAACGAAATAGGAACAGACCTTCAACAAAAGAGGCAGAATAGTCCTCTACCGTCTGGTGAGACAAAGGTAGTCTACCCGTTGTTCTCTAGAAAAGGGGAGATGTGGTGTTGTGTTAAATAGCCTTTGGTGATGGTTAAGTGTAAGAGGAACCAATGTGGAGAGAGGAGATGAGGAGGACACCGATTAGAGTGTGACACGACAGGAAGCCAAGGTTAATAATAAAAAGCAGTTCGTGTGCAGAGAACTCGCGTAGAAAGAGTATTATTACAAAATACGACAAGTCTTATAGTATATCTCTAACACTTTGTAATAATTCTACTTGTGATGTAGAAGATAATTATCAAAGTATGTAATTATATAAGAATGTTAACAATCTGTAATAATTTTTTAGTATATCACTAGTGTGGTGTAGAACAAAATTATCTATGTAGAAATACTGCTTGCAAACCAATGATGGTAAGATGATGTCATGGGGTAGGACTGGATAAGTCTAACTTCTTCCTACTCCGTTCAAGCATGTACTAGGTATAAGCAAATTGATAATGCATTTGTGGATATGTGTGAAATTATGTGTGTTGACATATTGACTGTCTTTACATGTTTGAAAGAATAAATCAAATCAAATCTCTCTTGTATATACAGTATATATGCATTTGTTCACTGTATTACACATCTTTATCAAAAGGAGTAAACACAGCTCAGGGCCAGGCTCAATAAGTATTTTTTCTTTGCCTTGTGACATGTACACAATACCTCCCTGTATGTAGCTATATAAAGAGCTCTGCTGCATGGATGTGATTCAGCAGCAAAGCATGATCTTTAAGATTTAGCACTGGACTGTAAACTGTGGCATGCTGAGATTAAGCAGGGGAAAGGGGGAAGTCAAGGGAGGACTTGATGCCTGAATAAACTTAGTCATGTTGCTGTGGTGATGATGAGTAGAGCACGTTTAAAGACATATTCAGTGTGTCCCTACACAGCAGCAGAGTATTGCGTTTCTCTTTTGCCATGTCTTTATGCATTTCTGGGGTTAATCTCCAAAATGACTGCATGTCTTAAACAGCCATGTGCAGTGTCTGATGTGGAAGTGGAGCACTGGGCGGTTGAAGCACATGGGCACAGGTTGTCTTCAGATTACATCTTTATTGTTGGTTTAATAGAAAAATGTGCCTCTTTTGATACAGATTCAAAATTACTTTGACAAAAACACAAAAAATACATACATTTTTTTTTTTAGCAGCATGGCTTTAATTTCAGATCCTCTGACATCACTGGGCATGTCAGAACATTTAAATGAAAATGACTATACTGAATATTTATATAAAAAGATACATAACTTATGTTGGGAGGACAGAAGCAAATAGCTTTAAGAAGTGGAGAGAGGCAATACAGGTATAGCAGTTTAGATAAGGAAGGTTTAGCAGAGCCTCACACTGCATTATTATTCATATTTCAACACGTAAGAATGTAGGAAGGCCTGGGCTGAGTGTTGTCCTGGTTGTCCATACAGAAATACAAGGAATATATCACCTGCAAAAGTTGGAATATTTATGGCTGTGAAAACATGCATACAGTCAAGGTAATAAAAAAAAAAAGCATGATTCATACAGGGGTTTCCTGAACATATGAAGCATATAAAGGTCTGTGCATTAGTCAGGTGTGACCAAAAGCAATAAAAGAAAAAGTTGGTTCAGAAAAATTGGTACTGGCAACAGCAGTGAAAAACTATTCTAGCTGGAGGTGGTCCACAGCATGTCTAGGAGGTGCTGACATTTTTCAGATTGTGGCTCAGCTTCATAACATACAGTACAGACCTTCGGCTATCCTGTTTCACATACTGTTTGCATGGTTTCAAGATGAAGGAAAAGCACACCAGTAAGCACCAGTAATATGTAAACAGCCAGTGAAGACTGAGGACAGAGGAGCAGAGAAATGGCACATGGCAGCGTCGAACAGCCAGGATCAATACTGCAATAGTTTGGACTAACTCCAAGTTTCTGAGTGGCAACTGACTGAGATATCTGCAGTAAATTCAAACAAGTGGTAAATGCAGTTGAATAAAACACCACAAACTGTTCAAATAAGTAAATATGAGACCTCGGTTGTGAACACATGGGGTAAACACTGGTTTGTATGAGTTTCGGAAGAATGTGACAAATGACAAACTAAATCATGTCTGCCAAGCTTTGTCTTGTGTAAGACAGGGTTTAATAGAAGCTGGTGCTTATTTACAGTATGTGCAGCCTTGTGTGCCATATGTGCTTCTATGTAGCTCTGACCTGCATACTGTACGCCACAGCACTAGTGGATGCAGAATACCAAGCATAAGAGAGATTGAAGGTTTGTTATTTGGACTGCTAGGGAAAACAGTTAAAAGTCCAACAACAGCTCAGTAAAAAAAACAAAATATAGTCATTAGTACAGAGAAGTGACAAGTTAAAGGAAAAACCAGAGTGCTTGACACCTACAATGAGGAGGAGTCACCAGATCTCTGCCCAGTTGAACAATGAGAGGAGATTTTGGAGTGGTGTTAGACAGCATCACCATCACCAAAACACCAAATGAGGGAATGTCTTTTGGAAGAATGGTGTCCATCCCTCTTGTAGAATTTAGAGACTGTAGAATCAATGCCAAGGAGCACTGAGACAGTTCTGGTGCCACATGGTGGCCCAACACCTTACTAAGACATTTTCATGTTTTTCTTCTTCAATTTGTCACCTGTCTATATATAGTTTAGACAACATACAAGAGGCTCTACTGTTGGTTTATCTGTTCCTGAAAGTAGTAGTGTAGATGAATATGAACTCGAAGTACAGGTAAACATTCATCGATTACAATCTGACATGTTTAGACATCAGAAAGAGAAGCAGTAAGAGGAAATGGACCGCGAGCCCAGTCGTGATGCATAGACAAGAAGACTTTGGCAACCACATGCTAGTTCAGCAGACACCATGCAACCATCTGGATGTACTGTATCATTCTTCATTCATTCAGCTACTTCACTTTCAAATATTATTTTAAATTTGAACACAACAGTTCTTGTTTTTCTAGTAGTCATTGAAGTGCATCACTAAAACGGTAACATATAAATCAGTTATTAAAGAGCCCATGGCATGCTTTTCTGTGTTCGCTGACTTATCTACAATGTTGCAGCGATGAATTATCTTAAATGTGACTAAAAGGTCAAAAACACAAAGTGTACCTATGTTGTTGTACTTCTGTGTAGAAACAGCTTGGTTTATACAAGTCCTGTGATCTCTAACTGGTGAGACTTTTTTTCCAACTACCCTGGACCAGTGAATGATCAGCTGATCCACGGTGGATTCCCCTGGAGCACAGTAGCTGTTTGTTTTGACTGCTTGAGGCCAGTGTGTCTGCTTCATGGGATGTGTTGTGGGTTGGCAAGAGGACTGTAAGAGGCTCTCCTTGTGATATCGGGTTTTATTGTTCTGAAATAATCACAGACTATTTGGAGTTATGATGGGTGCAAAGCTAATCTAGAGGTACCCAAGATTAAAAATGTAATGGCTATAAATAAGCATGCCATGGGCACTTTAAAAATAAATTAAAATCTGTGGTTAGTTAAAAACCATTACAAGGATGTACTTTAGATTGAGAGATGTCAGTTTCCTTGATTTGAATCTACAGTAGACCAACAAAAAGGAGCACTCATCTGGTTCCTACCGCAGACGGGGTGAAGTGGGTACTAAAGACAACAACCAAAAAAGAGAATAATAAGAAAAATCGCTAAAAAGCCAATGACAAATCCACCTATACAGGCTTTGCTGTTGTGTCTCAAATCTAGCAACATGTTCCGGTGTGTCACAACTGGGCTGCTGGTTGTTTCATAACTGTAAGGCAGATTTTCTTTGTTTTTAAATGGAGTTTAGGGCTGTGACTCAAATGTCTTGCTTTTAGTCCTCGTCTTGTTTCTCAATGTTAAAAAAAAAAAAAAAAGTGACGCTAGGCTTCTAACTAACCTGGTGACTCTATATTAAACACGAAAAATCGGTTCACAGTAAAAAAAAAACAAAAAAAACTGAACAATTTTAATAAATTTTGTGCATAGAAACACATTCTTCCTTTTGCAGCTGTTGTTAGTAAAGGCTGAGGTCCTTTAATATGGCTGCCAGAAGGTAAGCCCTCTGTAGTAGTTTTCATTCACTCATTTATTTGCCACCTTCTGAGACCCCTGCTAAGTGACATAGGCCTCTTGGTAACACTTGGTACTGAGTTTTCATTGGGGTACTAAGTTGTCTATTTAGCTTATGTCTTTACAGACATATTTACATTGTGGGTGGATTCTATCAACATAGTTGAACATAAGGGCAATGGGTTACTTATTTTTTAGCTCTGCAAACCTCATAATACAAAAATACATTTATAACCACAGTTATTATTAGGCAGAAGGATTATAAAAACAAAAATCTGCAAGTTTTTTTTTTTTTTGAAAGTGACAGAGAGATGTCTCCTGGTTCTTAAGATTTAACTGGGCTCCATGTTTTTAATTAGATCATTGTGCATGAGCTTTATGTTCAGATTAATGTCATTTTGTTTAGTTTGGAGGATGATGCATCTCAAAAGTGAACCCAAAGTTGGGTGATCTGAAATAATCAAATCAAACTGTGATGACAATTAATGGTACATGAACAGCTCATGCAGCACACCATTTTGAATGACCACTGCTTTTTTTAACGTCTCTTAGTAGCTGCTGCAAATAGCATCAACATCTGTGCTGCCAAGAGAATTTTACATTGCCTCAGTCAAATTAGAGGTGTCTCTTGTTGCCGTCAAACCAGCTTTACTCTCTCTAACCAGCGTATGTATCTCAACTGCTTATGTTTGTGTGTTTTCCCCTAACTTTAGTTAAGGATATCAGACATTTAAGTGACTGCATTTCTACAATTACAGACAGAGAAAACAGGCTGTGAGAAGGATAAGCAGTAATGACAATTAGAAATGGTGCAGGAAGAGGTAACAGACAGAGCAGCAATAAAGAGGATCAAAACTAGAGAAAACAGATATGAAAGTATGACAAGAAGGAAGGAAACATTTAAATGTTAAACTGATTATGCACCAACTGTTAAATTATGAGGAATGGAAGTCTGACATTTCTACAGTTAAACAGACACTAATGAGGTATCGGAGGAAGCAAGGTTGATTGAAAAGAGGTGTCTGGCAGCTTTGTAGTTCGGACACCTGATTCAGATTGCTGCAACATTGCACAGAACGGTGAAAATAGAGTAGTAAGTAATGAGAATGTCAACATGTTCAGCTGGCTTGCTGAGGATTGACTGATTACAGAGGTATAGGTGTATGTCTGCTGTTAAGAAATGCTTCTCCTATAGCATTGCCTCCCCAAAACTACACTCAGCAGTGAGGTTTGTGTAGCTTTCAGGCTCTCAAGTGTTGTAACACAGACTGAATAATGGCAGCAAAAGCAAAGAGGGGGACTGACAGAATGGATTACCAGCTAAACACCTGGGCATCTCCTTGTCCCAGTTCCCCCCTCTGCTATTCAGTTATGCATATACTCACAGTGTAAGTTAAGCAGTTGATTATTGCACCTCTACTTCACATCTGTTCACTAAGATCCTGTAATATAAGAGTGCAGAGGTAAATGGTCTGAACATTAACAGTAACCACAAGCTGTCCTCTTGAGGGACTGTGTCAGTGAGGTTGTGATGTTTTGTTTCAGTATAGCCAACACAGTGAGTGAAGCCGTCAAGGCACAAAACTCAAAGCAGCAAATTGATTGGATTATGAGATGGACTGGTGAGAGCACAGGTAGTTGGGCGATTTTATCTCAGTAGTTCCCTCTTATCAATGTAATGTAATGGTTTCATATAACATAACTGTCTCTACTATAATAATGCAGATGCAAAGGTGCTGCACACATTCACACAGAGGAACAATTTCAAATAAAATGATACAGAAATGACTTTAGTTAAGTTGATGTAACCCTACGCTACCAACAGTCTCCTGTTAGGATTGCATGAGTCCAGTTCTTTCCACTTAAATGTGTATAAGGTGTGCCCACCAAAAAAAACCCTTCTATGAATAGTTTTTCAAAGTCGTAACAAACAGTTTATGCTGATTTGTCTAGCACTGTGGTAAAAAAAATGAATAAAAACTAGAGTTAGAAGCTGAAAAGTTAAGGCTGGCTCATGAGAAGACTAACAGCTGTAGTGTTTAGTTTCAGTAATTTAAGCAGCAGATGCACAGTGCTCACAGCACACAGTGGTCTTTGCATACATTAACCTGCCACACGCTGCATTCACTGAACTGTGAAACAAATCAAAAACTCTAGGGCTCATGGCGTGAATCAGTGGAACTGGTAGAGTAGTTGAAGTCATTTTGATAAAGACCCTGGCTGTGTGCACAGTGTGATGCAGCATGTGGATGAGTTGAGGTGATTGCATCTGTTGGCTAATCCTTTTAATGAATTGTCTGTTGTCTCCAGTGACACTTACAACAGATACGTATTGTATCTCTTGTAGCTGCCATAGCAGCAAACAGTCAAACTGAATGAAGGAAACCTGAAAGTCACCCAAGATAATATTGGTTCAGCTATACAAACTAAATATAACACAGTGCTTAAAACAAAAAAAAAAAACTAGATTCATTTGGTACTACATTTAAAAGTTTAAAAAGTAAGTTTATCCCTTCACTGTTCTTATTTTATATACCTCTTGATCTTAACAATGCTTATATGGAATCTAAAAAAGAAAGCATAGTTACTGAATACATGATAAATGCTGTGAAATCAGACACTGCTACTGTACAGTTGGTTAATGTGTCTCCTTTTTGGAGGCTGATGAACAGTTGTAGTTGAGACTGTGTTGTGCTTCTCCACCTTCTTTTTGTCCTCTGTGGTTTGTACAGTAGGCAGAGCCCCCATTTTTACTTCTCTACGTATCAGAATAACAAACAGCCCATGAGGGTCCAAGTGGGTTTAAAGTTTGGCCAACAGGAAGTGGCTTGCTGGGAGCTCTGGTTTGGAGGAGGGCAATCTAAGAATGAGAAAAGGTGCTGGTGGGCTGAATCCTTGGACAAAAGCAGAGAGATCACTGAACATCAGGAGCAATGCGTGTTTATGTATTTTCAGGTCTAGGTGAATTATGTGTAATGTGGATGGTAAATGTATGTAACCTTTGTATGGTGCAACTCAGATGTGTGTCTCTACGTCAGTGTAGCCAGGCAGGATGTCTCCATTGGAGCAGATCTTGGGCTCCTCCGGTGGTGGGTAGTTGGCCAGTATTGGGGCAGCAGGGGATGTCTCCTCTGGTAACGCTGCCTGGCCTCGCTGGAGCCTGCGGTGTATGAGGGGCACAAAAAACAGCACCATGCCCCCCACCATAGGAGGCACCCCAGCCAGAGAGAAGGCCACTGTGTAGTTCCCAAAGTAGTCATGTAGGAGACCTGGGCAATGGAGGCAGGGAGACACAGGGGATAATGTCATCCTGTCTTTTAATAGGAATCCCACCAAAACACAGTATCAATTTAACAAGGTAAGTTGCTGTCAGGGGTGATAGATCATGGAGGGAAGGTAGATGTGAAGCATCCGGACTCAGGAAGAGACTAAAGGAAATGTGTCCATTTGCTTTTTCCCACAATTAGAACATCAATGTTATGTTTTTAAATTGAAGGTACAATGTAGAGTTTTTGACCACTTGTTAACGTGATGCAGTAGTTTTGATAAGTGGGAACCTGTTTTGTTTGCAGCTTCCATCCTGCCATTGGTTTCAAGCTGCTCCACTGATTGACAGCTGGTAGTGTAATAAATGTAAGCAATTCACTGGCAAACACAGTAAAGACTGCTAGCAAGCAAACACTGGTATAAATAATGCATTCAACACATATTTTGGACTTGGAGGATACAAGGTTACAAAAAAGCACTACAGGCAAACTAAATATGGCAGCTTGAGGCATTTAGGGGGTTGCAACTCTACAGTAAACTTAAGCAACTGTTGTTTTTAGAGATATATTTGTATAAAACCCTGTAATATTGCTTTATCACTCTTTGGGTTTTGATGTTTTCTTTCCCAGTTCAGTAACCGCTTCAGCTTGTAAACAAATGCATATGTACACTAGTATTTATGACAGTTGGGTACAATTCAGTTACACTCGGCAACTGTAGGGGGAGACTTACTGCCAGGTTATGTATTGTTGCTTTAACTGACTAATCCTTTCACCTTTAGTATATAACAGGAATATCACTATGGATATTAACTGTTTTGACATAACTTTGGATATGTTATTAACATGTATTAATATTTTGCTTTCTGTAAAAATTGGATGTGCAGATTTGCATAGATTGTTTTGCAAAATGTTCCGCTCAAATTTCACTCTGTTACCGCTCACACCATGAGCCTGAAGCATGCCCAAGCCCAACCCAGAATGCATCCGTGTCTTGCACAGTGATCCAACACTTTTCACTCAAAAAGGAAACTGAAAGTTCATACAGGTGTACTGTATATTTTTATTTAATTAGGCCCTTTGATTTGTTGAATTATACCCATGACTTTTTGTGTTATAGGCCTAATTGTAATTTGAAATAAATCATTTCTACAGGTATTTGGGGAAAAAAGTAGTTGTCGTTCTTTGGGATTTAAAGCTGAAACTGAAATACATCCAGATTTTCCCCTTTTTTTGGAGTGAGTGTGCGATTTGAGTGGAGTGTGATGCAGTCTGAGTTGAGTGCTGAACGCTAATGAACAGAGCAGCTTTGAGCAGGAGAACAGCTAAGTGAACGAGGAGTGGAAATTCTCCCTGCTGCACTCCGCTCATATGCTCTGGTCCTGAGGAAACCGACTAGGCTGAGAGCATGAAATATATTAAACCACTGACCTCAACCACCACAGTCTGAGAGCTCCAGTTTTCTGAGGCCACTAAAGGAGGGTCGTATGTTTAGTAGTAAATGCAGTCCAGTTAACTGATGTGATGCCTGAGTCATAAAATTAATGTCTGCCCTGACTGCTTTGCTATACACTGTTGTTAGAGGGCTAGAGAGAGGAGATAGAGGAGACCTGAAATGTATGTGCTTTTTTTCCCAGAAGACAAACCCCTGGAGACAGCCTGCAGCTGGCCATGGGCCCAAACCTCTCTTAATATACTTCACTGTACCATCTATCCTGCTCTGTATTTGCCTTACTTGCCCTTTACTCCCTGCATTTTTCCCTACCCTTGTACATCTGTTTTTCCTCTGCTAATATATATTCGCTTGTTGTGTGCAGTTAGTGTCACCATCCAGATGTCGGTGCAAGGGGCCAGATCACTGCAAGTTTATTCTGGATTATGTTGCATAAAATGGTGCTATATTGTGAAAAACTGTCGAAAAAAGAGAGGGCTTCTCACCAGCGATGGGTGGACCTGCTGTCATGGGCAGAGCCATGAGGCCTAGTAGGTAGCCTATGGCCTGCGAGGCCTGCATGGGCCCAACCAGCTCGAACACTATAGGAGCCATCAGGGTGAGGAAACAGCCATCACACAGCCCCAGAAACACACACACAACGACCAACCCCTCGAACACATCACACTGAGGAATCATCATGGACATTAGTCCCAGAGCCATGAAGGACACCACCTGGAACACACAGCAAGAGCACATTTTTAAAATCTGTTATTTTTATTGTTACAAGCCATGGTAGTCTGTTTCATAAGGCAGAGCTGCAGTAGGTGTTTTTAGCTGACTCATTTTCTGTAAAATGTATGAACAAAACTTTAATCAATGCACCTCCAAATCGGGCGCAACATAGTGGAAACAAACTCAGAACCCATGATGAGTGTTACTCAGCACGACACGTTTCTGTAGGTTCCTATAATCGGGAAAAACCCTTTAAAACCCCATTAATATCACACAGACTTACACATTTTATGGATGCATGTCATGAAATTTGAGTTTTTAAATTATCTATCACTCATTATCCCTCTGCACAGTTTAACAACATGCAGACTGAGTGTGGCGGTTCTGGCCAGCACAGCCAATGATTTATCTTTGTCTTTGCATTCAGTAGGAACTACATAACTATACACAAGCAAGAAATGACAAATCCAGTTTGTATTCATCCCTCAAATTACTCTGAACAGCCTTTCCCCTTGCCATCTTCTCAGGACTGAGTCATTATCTGGGCAGTATTTTAGCAACAAGAAAAATTGTTTTCATTCTGGTGCCATTACTGTGTGCAAGCATCGCTGTCAGGTTTGCCTGCAGCCTAATAAGCCATTAATCACTCTAATTGCAAATTAAAATATCCACTTTTTGTCATAACACAAATAACCCTTTTAACAGAATTATATTAAATAAATGAATTATTAGGTATTAAGTATTAGTTCAGTGTAATAATGTGTCCCAGCGGGGCTGCATTATATAGGGGAGATTTTATTATGTAGCATATCCTTACTGATATAAATAGGGTGAACAAAATAATAGAAACCTCTGCTAGTTTAATACAGTATAGCTAAACAGCACCACAGGCTACATTCCTCCAGAGTGACCATAGAGTTGAATCAACACTTCAGTAAAGCAATTTCAACAAAACTGAACATGATAACCTTCTTGAAGGGTGGATTTATAGCATTACTGTTGTATTAGACTTCATTATTCTTCAGTGTCACGTAGTAAAATGCAAACTGAGCGTCAAGCTGTGTAATTATATAGGAATGTACAGTATGTTGTACTAGTATGATAACACTAGGTATGGTGGCAGTTTAAATTTTGATGCGGCGCTCTCACAACGCCCTCACACTGTAATCCCTAACATTTTCATAATGATGTGCAAACATTAAGGAAAAAGTGGACTCCCTATATGTAAAGCTTTCAAAGACACGCCTCACCTGCATATAGATCTTTTGAACGCCAGGAATGAGGTCCCCGATTTTGCCAAAAGCGAGGCGTCCCACCCCGGATGAAGCTCCTATGCACACCAGGAGCACCCATTCCTTTTCTGTCTCCTTGAACTGCTTCTTCGCAAAGTTAATCTAAGAAAAGAAACAGACACAGCATTGATTGTGCGGCAGATAATGTCATTATGCTGCACAAGAAAAACACCAGAAGCTGCCAATGGTGAAGGAGCTTGGAAAGATACCACACAACCTGCTTGTGAACTGTTTCACATTTTCTTACTCTGTCTACGAAATCAGTGAACTGGGTAATTGGGCGTGCATTTGGCGGAAAGGAGGAATTGTCCATCCATAACCCCAAAGCCATAGTTCTACAATAATACAATGTCTTCATCCAAAGACCTTTGCAACAGCAGGACATGAAGAGCCAAAACATATAGGTCAGACCCTCCCAGTCCCCTTAGGCTTTACCCCCCCCCCCCACACTACAACCCAA